CTCCATCCTCTAAAAATCAGTCAATCGACAAGAGAAAGATTTAATGGATTCTAATTGTCAAGGATTTTTACCCAACAATTTCCATTACAAAGTAAGTCAAAGTGAAATATTAATATATGTATGGTACTCTTCTTGAATTGGGGTACTAATTAGTAGAGTGTGATATTCAAGTAAAAGACCAAGTCATTTATTTAATTATACCATTAGATTCTAAATTTAAGCCTAACAGACTGTGAAGCATTGGATATGTTTCAAGAAAATGTTGTATTAGCATTACATGTCTGTGTGTGCGCATTTATGTTTGTATGGATACATTTACTGAACCTTATTGCCTTTATGTGTTGAATAACAATTATGAAATGTAAAAAGCTATCAATTTAACCCTGGTAAGCTTGAAACTCAAATAAGTCTGTTGGATCCCACATATTTTGCTAAATTACTTGAAACAGTTTACAAGATGGAAATATATGTTTAATGCTTTAATATGAAATAATCTGTCTTGGAAATACTCCAATTAAAGACTAAAATACAGCATATGTGATTATAAATTTAGATTTTTGTGAACCAAATCCATTTTTCAAGAATGAAAATATTATCCAACTTTGACCTAAACTCACATTGTTATCTGAAGCTTGACTCTTGACAAAATGTTAAGAAAATTCATTTTTATATATGTAAGCTGGAAATAATTCTACTTGAATAACAGTTCTATATATATATTACTAAGAACAATATATACAAAATATATAATATATAATTATATATAGTTGATATAGAAAATAAAATTCATAGATAAAGATTAGCAAAGTGTAACTTAAAAAATATAAACAATTCTCAAATAAAAGACATATGGCACTAGATAAAGATACTATAAGAATATAGATACCAAAAAAGGGTAAACTGGAAGTCTTCATATTTAAAAGCATAATTATTAGTTAAAAAACAATGCATATCACATACTACTATAGTTCAGCAATTGGCATGTGGTTGATGTACAGTAAATGCTAGATGAGTGAGTGAATAAAGCTTTTGAATCAAAAAATGATTGAGGCATTCATGCTTGGGAACATTGAGAGAAGACCATTTAGCTAGATGTTGTGTCAGAGACAGTAGGAATAGATAATAAAAGAAATATTAATGAGAAAGAGATCTTTTGGAAATTAGAAATAAAAAAAGAAGTTACTGTAAGAAAGTAGTGTCATGAAGCAATTAAACTTTGTTTTTGTTCTTGTATAATATTAGAAAATGTTCGGCATTTTAAAAAGACCAAGCAAAAGTTTTTGGAGCACCTAGGTGGCCCAGTTGGTGAAGCATACGACTCCTGACTTTGGCTCAGGTAATGATCTTATGGTTCATGAGTTCAAGCTCTGCATCAGGCTCCGTGCTGACAGCATGGAGCATGCTTGAGATTCTCTCTCTCCATCTCTCTGTGCCCTTCCCCTGCTTCCTCTCTCTCTCTCAAAAATAAATAAGTAGACATTAAAATATTAAAATAAAAGATAAAGGAAAAGTTTCCTATAAAGAAGCTGACCTTCCAGAAGGAGGGAATTAAAAAGTAAAAATTTATTTGAGCTCAATTATCTTCTAAAATGCATATTTCACCATAGCACAAGCAAAGCTTTTTTGTGTGTGTCTGTGGACACAGAAAATAACTGCCAACTTCTTGATAAATGGAAAATAAATGGATTGGGTTTTGACTTAGAAGCACAGAATTTGAGAACAGCATGAAATATTTCTGAGAGAAAGAAAAGAAAGAAGAATGAACTCCTGAGGTATATGAAAGGTAATGAAGGAAGTTGATTAGTAAGAAACTAAGAAACAATATTTTCAAGCACACCATGGGTACTCCATGAATAAGTATCATAAAAATTTAAATATATTCTTATTATATTAACCCATTTCAAAACTACACAGAGAAAAATGTTTTCTCTTTCTTTCTCTTTTACTTTTTTATGTTTATTTATTTATTATGAGAAAGAGAGAGACAGAGACATAGAAAGTGCAAGCGGGGAGAGGGGGAGCAGAGGGAGAGAGAAAATCCCAAGGGATCTTCATGCTGTCAACACATAGCCTATGTGGGACTCTAACCCAGGTCTGTGAGATCATGACCAGAACAGAAACCAAGAATCAGTCATTCAACCAACTGAGCCACACAGGGGCCCCCTTCTTTCTTTCTGTTTGCTCTGCTTTCCTTGAGTGGGAAGCTGAATGGGAAAGATGCTGTGAACTTCAGGCAGCCATCTTGCAACTGTGAGTAGGTTATCACCCACATAGTCCTGATGCCTAGTGGAAGAATGGGACATACTGGGAAATGGGTGGTTTCTCTCAGTCACAGAATCAACAAGTGGACCATTGACTTTGGAAATTAACTAAATAATATGCATTCTTAAGCCAATTTTATGTAATCTTTCATTGGTAGCCAAATTCTCCAGATGATGTATATTACGATTACATTTGAATAGTATTTAAAAATTAAGTGTTGTGTTTTGGCTCTTATGAAAAAAATATTTTGAAAAGAACCTGTCTAAAATGCAATGTTGTGAAGAAGACAACATAAAATAATTTAAAATGAAAATTTGAAATCTGTCTTAAGCTAATTAAAAGCCATTGACAGATTTCACATTTAACCATATATATTCATGAAGTAACCACTTTGAGCCAGGCTCTTTTATGTCTAGTCAAAAAAGAGTGCCAAACAAGGAAAGATATAAAAAATAAATTAAAACAATATATGTATTTTGGGTACCTGGTTAAGCATCCAACTCTTGATTTCGGCTCAGGTCATGATCTTGGAGTTCGTGGGATGGAGCCCTACCTCAGGCCCTGTTCTGATAGCATGGAGCCTGCTTGGGATTTTCTCTCTCCCCCTCTCTCTCTGCTCCTCTCCCCTACTCACAAGCATTCTCTCTCTCTATCTCTCTCTCTCTCTTTTTCAAAATAAATAAATAAACTTTAAAAAATAAAACAATATATGCATTTAGATAGTATTATGCAGGATATAGAAGATGCACTTAGATATATGCTGACATAGTAAAGGAACAAAACTCGGCGGCAAAATCAAGTACTAAGAAAACTAAAAGATAACAAAATGATATCGTAAATAGTTAGGAATTGTATGGTTTTAGTCATTTTAAATGTTATAGCTGCTAATATAGCAAACCTATTTCATTATTAGTCATGTATCAAAAGTTTGACAGAGTATTAATGCCATTTCAGAATTGTATCATTATGTAATTCAATGTTTGAACACACAGTGTCAACATGATACATGTCTGTAAGTATGGGATACAACAAAGCACTTATGCTGTGAATGATGATAGCATGGAATTATGGTTTCAAATCATTTTCAAATCACCAGAAAATATATGCTCTAGAACATGCCCATAAACACATTGTTGATGTATGAAAACTCCTAAGAATAATAAACACAGTAATAAAAATTGACATAAAAACATTCAGCCTAATAGCAAAAAATGAATTAAACAATAACCATTAATCCTCTCATTGGGTACTACGTAAGAGAATATTAGATTATTATTAGTATAATTCACTTTAGCAATTAATATCAATTTTCTAATGTCACTAATTGCAGGGCTAAAATAGATGGTATTTTTTTACTTTTTCAGAAGTCATCACTCACAAAACCTATGGTAGTAAAAATGAGAATAACAAAATGTGATAGAAAAGAATGCACATATTTTATTTTCACTTTGAACTCATTTTCATGATCATCCATGAGAAAGCTCAGTTAGTTTATCAACTGTTCGGAGAGAATAACTGTCTTAATTTGTTTGTTGGAATGAGGGTAGGTTACCCGACCTGCAAGAAAAGCATGCTGAGTACATTTTCCTCACTGGTTCTCTCAGCTAAATGTGGGTCTTTGCCAGGCCATTTTTGGTGGGGGAGAAAAAAGCCACCACTGTCAGAGCACCTAAAACAGCTGCAGAGCAGATGCAAGCCTTATGTGGGAGCATGGCAGACCATTCTGGCATGCTGCTGACTTTAGCCACACTGAAATTCCTGTTTTTTTTAATGCTTATTTATTTATTTATTTTTGAGAGAGAGAGAGAGAGAGAGAGAGAGCAGGGGAGGGGCAGAGGGAGAGGGAGACACAGAATCTGAAGCAGACTCCAGGCTCTGAGCTGTCAGCAGAGAGCCTGACACAGGGCTCAAACTCACTAACCATGAAATCATGACCTGAGCCAAAGTCGGAAGCTTAATTCACTGAGCCACCCAGGTGCCCCACACTGAAACTCTTGAAGGTCCGCTAATGCCTGCTTCTCTAAATGATGCTTCCTTTGCTAATAATGTTTCTCCCTTCCCTGATAATTTCCTATTTTTCTTTCTAGACTCAACCCATAAATCGTTTTTATGAGACTTTCACAAATTTTTAGTTGAGTTAACTGGGTTCCTTAACTCTGCTTTCATAATCCTTTGGTCAACTTCTTCTCATTACTGTATTCATTACATTTATTTATTCATTCCTTGTCCATGCAGTGTAAAACATTCTTCATCTAATTCAAACATGTGAATCCACCTGCTTTCCTCCAAGCAAATAAATATTCTTCAAGTTCCTCTTCCTCCCCAAAATGACTTGACACGTATTTCACAGAGAAATTAGATGTTATTACATTAGAGTGCTTTAAATCTCCTGCTACTATATAAATCCACCTGTCTAGAAACACACCAAACTTTTCCCTGCATTTTGTAAAATTGAGGACCTGTCCTTTGACCTCTTAACAAGTTTATAACTGCACAACCCTGCATTATGTGAATTGTCTTATCCTGATTTCTCCATCTTTGTTTTGGACCACTCTCCTCCAATTGGTCAGGGCTCTGGTCACACTGGAATCTTACTGTTCATCACATGTGTCATGTCTCCTTTTACAACATGCTTTCTTTTGCCTGAACATATTTCTTCTACGCTTTGTTCAGTAAACCCCCATTCATCTCACAAGTATCAATTCAATTGCTTTGTCTTCATGAAAGCCAGTCCTTACCCTGATTAGTAAGTCTCCTCAGCAGTACAGTGGTCTCCCAGTTATCTGTGTGTGGTTTTCTTCCCCCCAGCAGTTTCAGTACATGTGCTCAGCCATGGTCTGGAAGCAGATGATCCTCCTTCTGACTTATTGCCAGAAGGTCAATAGTAGCCTAACACTATGTAACAATGCCTACATCATTCACCTCACGTCATCTCATCATATAGGCCTTTTATTATCTCACATTACAAAAAGGGTGACTACAGTACTATAAGATATTTTAAAAGAGAGACCCCATTCACATAACTGTTATTACAGTATATTGTTATAATTATTCTATCTTATTATTACTTATTATTGCTAAACTCTTAGCATGCCTAATTTGCAAATTAAACTTTGTCATAGGTTTGTATATAGGGGGAAACACAATATACATAGGGTTTGGTACTATCTGCACTGATTTCAGGCATCCATTGGGGGGCTCTTGGAAGATATTCCCAGCAGATAAGGGGAGGCTACTATATGTCTCTTTTTTTCAAGGTTCTTACACCTTTGGTATTTTATATTTTTCTGTGTGATCATTTAATTTATATCTGTTTCTTTCTATATACCCTAAACTCCATGAAGCCATAGATAATATCTAACTTCATTTTCTATCAAGTGCAAAGAGCATAGTGCTTGAAATATATTAGGTAATCAATCCCATCTGTTGAATGAATACTATTTTCAAATTTTTAATTTATATTTCTTTCTCTTCTCCTCCCTTAAGGTCAGAGATGATGAAATTATTCATCTTAGAATTCTCAGCGCCTTAAACAGGCCCTGCAATCTATTAATAAAAAATGATTTTTTTCATTAAAGGAGAATAGGTTGGAAATGTAAGGGAATCATATATTGGGGAACATGAGATAGATTTATTGTAAATCCTTCAGAAAATTTTAATTGTTTATTATAATTACAAGGGCATCTAATAGAACAACACTGAATTGAAATGATTCCTTTTTCCCTTTGTTTTTACAAGTGCTTTATACTTTGATTTATTTTCCATTACCATTTTTAATTACTGAAGCAATTTAAGTAACTTACATGAGGGTGATGACGTGAATAAAAGAAGGAAGTGCCACACAGAAATCTTATCAATTTCTGATATTTGACTCTTGAAAATAATTCATTTCAAATAGGCAAGTGATAAGGAAGCAGTTTTGCCTTGTACACTCACTAGCCGATGTATTAACACCAATCTCTAATAAAATCATTATAAATAATTTGAGGAATTAGTGTATTTAACCTTCAAATTTTAATTTTCCTCTTTGAACCTAAAAAATTGATACTTTTGTATGTTTAATAATGGAAATTAAGAAAGAATTGTGATTGTACTATAAACTTTTATTTATTCCCTGATCAGTATAACAACCTCATATAAGTATTATATAGATGAGATCTATAATATACATATTAATATTATGAGAATTGTCATTCTATTAAAGGTAAAACTATTTGATATTTGAGATGAGATGTCACATGTCGAAGTTTTCTCAGATATTTGTAAATAATGCTAAGAAAATATTTTGATAGTCTAGACTGAAATGTGTTCATTAAAAATCAACTGTTATTTCATAATATCAAATATTATTTTTACTGCTTTCTGTTGCTATTATTCATTTTCCCAAATATCATCCTTATTACAAGTGGAGAATGAACCAACAGCATCCCTGCAGTTTGTCTCAGAAAGATAGAAAAAATGTTCCCAATTTGGTGTTCCCCAAGTGTGCATTAGTCAGGCAGAGTTAATGGAGCTATCTATCACTTCTAGCTCTCCTCTGTGAGCAGAGAGCAATAGATGACCCAGCTGACTCAGCTCAGCTAGTTTGTTATTCATAGGCTGACTGCAGTGCTGTTATGGTGGACTCGTCACAGACATCTAAGGCTCAGTTGGGCAAAAGTATCCCAAAGACCATGTCAACTTTAGAAGTGATTGTTGCAGATAAGGTCTTAATTCAAATGGAGTAGTTAGAGAAATCATTGATTCCATATGTGAATAGAAATAGAAACCTTTGACCTGATATTTTAGAGTATCAAATTCCAAAATGGATTTAGTCATTGTTGTTATAAATGGGGCAAATGGGGGAAATAACCAGTAGCTCCAATCGATCCGTGACATAAATAACCAATGAGACAAGGCAGATAGACAATAGAGTGTAATCAGGAGTTCCTCAAAACATCTTGGACCAAATTACAAAGACAAAAATGTTTTTAAAGAACAATTAAGTCAAAACTTTAGATACAAGATGATTAGCATTCTAATCTATTTGTACCATTGCTTATTTACTAATTATCAACAAATTTACATCAAATGACTATAGAAGTTAAATGTCAAAAATTTGTCTTATCCACCTTTTCCCACAGTTTCTCAAATCTGTAAAGTTTATTGAATGTAGGAAAAGGTTGAGAAAAAGATTGAATAAGTGTACTGATGTATATTTTTATATTCTCATCCTCCACTCCCAAACCAACTCTATATGAATCATACCATTTTTTGCCTTGGAAGCATTTAATTCTTGGGTGTAGACCTTTGTGTCATTTCCTTTCCTATCCCTAGATCCCATCATTTTTGAATAATGTAGAGATCTGGACATGTACCAGCTTTGACATGTCAGAATGATTATTTCTAGAGAACTGTCAAGTTAGATCAACTTTCATCCCTATGTTAAAGCTTGAACTGGAGTATTTAATTCAAGGACTGCCTTTCTGAATTTGACAGTATGACACTAAGAATCTAGTGATAGATGTGAGATATACACCTGGAATTTGAATGATTTCCAGAATGTTTGGAATCTGAATATAAATGCTACTAAATACATTAGTTTTAATAATAAATTATTATAAACATTATTTCAGTATATAGTGAGTGAATTTTTTGGAAACTTCAAAATGATGTTCCATTATAGTCAATTTTGAATATTTGTGAGATTATTCCTTTAGTTTATGCTAAAAGCAGCATACAAATATGTATTCTATATTTTATTGTTAATTATTTCAAAATGTACTCTATACAAAGCAGGGGTTTTAGAACTATTTTAAATATCTTTTAAACTTCAAATGAGTTTTAAAATATGTATGCTCTTCATTTTCAGGGTACTTCCTCCCCTCCCTCTGTCCCCTCCTGCCCTCTACCTGATATGTGACACATATGTATATATATATGTGACAGAAGTAAATGCTAACTTCAAAGAGCATTGAAATGCAGATCAGCTTTGTAGGCTGTGGGGCAATAAGAATAAAAGTAGCAATTTTTTATTCAATTTTTTTTTCCTCAAGAAAAGCTTCGGGGAGCCTGGATGGCTCATTCGGTTAAGCCTCCGACTTCAGCTCAGGTCATGATCTCACGGTCTGTGGGTTCAAGCCCCGCGTTCAGGCTCTGTGCTGACAGCTCAGAGCCTGGAGCTTGCTTCGGATTCTGTGTCTCCCTCTCTCTACCCCTTCTCTGCTCATGCTCTGTCTCTCTCTGTCTCTTAAAAATAAATAAACGTTAAAAAAAATTAAAAAAAAAAAAAGAAAAAGCTTCAGCATTTTTTAAAATGATAAATACAGCAAACTAAACAGACAAACTGGCCACTATACCTCAGAAACACTGAAACAGCATATTCACTAGCCACGTTTCATACACATCATAGAGATATAATAGCTCAGTCTCACAGCATGTACTTATAACAGAGCGATTAGTTTGCAAGATGGAGAAAAAAAGAAGCACTATAACATATCCTGTAGAAAACACCTAAAAATCTGAGGAGAAATAAAAAAATAGTAAAATATCCCACAGATCAATGCCCAATAGTAAATTAAATGAGAAATATGGATTCCCATTAGTATCAGCATAAATTAGACACACAAAATTTGGAGTTTTTAAATTATTAAAACTGGGAACTTAGAAAAATAGATGAAATTATATGTATAGGTTAATAAATGATTGTAATGAAAACTTGTTACCACCACTCAGGGCAAAAAACGAGTATTTCCAGCACTCAGAGATAGTTATGTGACTCTCTTCTTAATCATAATAAATTCATGCTGGCCTTTAACTTTATCAATTCTGTACTCTTCTCCATAGTTTTTTTTTTTTTTTTTTACCTAATTATGCCTGCATAATATATGTATGTAGTAGTCAAGGTTCAAAAAGAAACAGAACCAGTATAGGATGTATGAAGAAATTAATTGCAAGAAATTGGCATATGCAATTGTAGGAGCTGAGTAGGTCAGTTTAAAATGTATAAGGCTGGCCATTAAGAAGAGCAGGATGGAGGAGCTGAAACTATGAGCCACAAGTATAATTTCTTCTTTATCAGAGTAACCTCCATTCTGCCCTTAAAACTGTGCAACCGATTGAGTCAGGGCACAAAGATTATCTAGGATAATCTCTTATTGAAAATCAACTGATTATGGATTTAACTACATCTGTAAAACAATTGGTATTTGAATGAATAACTGGAGCAAGTTGACATTTCAAAGGACCATCAAAATAGGTAACCCTACTGTGGTATAGTCTTACTTATTTTTTAACTTTATTTGAATTTATTTTTGTAGAAAACATTCTTTTCAGTTTACGTTCTCTCATTCAATATTGTGGGTTTGGCTCTTGGTTTTATCCTGCAAAGTTGAGGGCGGCAGAAAGAATTATTCCAGACTCTATGCAAGTCTAGAGAGGTGAAAGGGAGACTAGGCGAAGCCTCTCTGAGCTGCTCTCAAGCGCTCATATTTATTAAGCATACATTTAGAGAAACAATGTGCAATATGTCAGGGGGCTACATGCCAGTAAGAAGATATTAAAAACATGCAGAATAACAACTGAAGGCATTCCCAATACTACATAAGAGCACACGTAGAAAACAGAGTGGAGAAGAGGATAAGATATCCATAGGATAACATGGTCTAAGGAATTTATGAACACAGGCAGAATCTAACCCTTAGATAAGCGAAGCATGGCTGCTGTTTTCAGCAAGGTCAGAAAGCAGTGTCCTGCTTTGCAATAAGTTCACTATGATCTCCTAACCCAAGATACGGCTATATGATTTCCCACACAATATTGTTTTTCAAGATTCATCCGTGTTATTG